GTTTTTTGGAGAGTGGGATTAGGAGTTTAGGGTGGGGATTTTTTTCTTCGGATTCTATTGTTTTAGGTTCTGTTGTTGTTCCTTTTGGTTTGATTTATCCTAATATTGTTTTTCGTCGAACATTTTTCATGTCGATGCATATGGTAGAAGGAAAGCGCAATTAAGTCTTGAGATATTAGATGCCAATGGGAAGCCATTAGAATGTAAGTGTTGTGAGCTTGAGTTTGTTGATTTCGAAAACTGTTCGAGTAATCAACAATTGAGAGCTGATGGTGATAACTATAGGAATAACTCCTCATTGGATCAGTATTTGGATGGAGTAACGAAAGTACATGTTAGAGTGCTGAGGAGGTATGATGAGTGTGAGAAATTAGAGGGTCACTTATTGAATCCGATCATCATTTGTGAATCCTTGAGAAAATCTAGAAAATATCGAAAAAATGATTTGGGTGAGTTTTATGCTGATAGAGTTCTTCAAATACTTGCAAGGGATATGGGTGAATCATTGGTGAGAAAACCTGTTGGGATTTGGCAAATCTTCTTGAGTTTTCTTTATAGGGAAGGTTACTGGGCATTAGTATCTCTTTCAGATGGTGATTCCAGTTTACATGGCAGAATCCTTAAGCCATTCACTGTTTTAGGAATAATAAAACACAAAACTATAAAACTACACTGTTTTAGGAATACAAATAGTCATTGGCAAAACTACGTCGTTTTAATAAACCGGCCATGTCATCTCCGTCACGGCATTGGAACGCCATGTCATCGTGTCGTTAACGGATTAACGACGGAGTGGTAAAATTGAAGTGAAACATAAACTTCCGTGCTAAAATTGGCAAAATTGAAACGTCAGTGGCATTTTCGATCCCGAGCATAAAGATGAGTGGTATTTGACATAGATTACCCATAATTTTTTATGATAATTACTAAAAAATTATTAAAAATGTTAACGAACTATTCGCAAACTTATCGAGTCAAGTTGGACTTTGTTCGACTCAACTCATTAACATCTCAAGTCGAGTCAACCCGAATCGAGTTTTGAGCGAATTTTAATTGAATCAAGTTCGAACTACTTACGAGATACTCAACTCATTAATCACCCCTATTTCTGGTAGCATACTTAGGATTTTATATATAGCACGTTTGTTGCAGGAAAGACACGTGGTAACTGTAGATTTACCTTACAAACCACTTCATGCTGGTAATTATAAAGTAAAACCACTTCAGCTGAATATGTGAAACATTGACCAATGTCCGTCAATATCAGTTTCTAATTCATTGTGGTGTCGGAAGTCTTTCGAAGATGGAATTCACTTTTCATTAAAGTTAAGATTCAACTAAATACGTTATCCAAAGGTTACAGTTGCTAGAACAAAAATTAAGCATGCATGAGCTAACCGCTAATGATCTTGTAAGGGCATGTAAGGTAAGCTAAGGCCGATAGGACAATTCAACCACTGCAACAACTGCTACTACGTACACCAACTTTTTTTTTTTTTGCTAAGAATATAAGGTTTATGCTTGTAGTAGGTACCGGTGTGACACTTATCGTGTTCTTCCTTCTGTTCTGGTTGTCAATGAATATATGTTTTATTAACAGTTCAATCTGTCTTGTTTTATCATTTTCATAGAGAAAGATTGCAATCTGGGGTCAAAGATGGTGAAGTTTTGTCTGCAATTACTAATTGCTTTGCTTCCAAGTTGAAGCACCTTATTTTCCAGACTTTATCCTCACATCTATTATATGTACACGTTTTGTTTTCCATATATAAAGTAGATAGCTCCTTTCTCTTTCAACAAATTGAAACAAAAAACATTTCTCTGCTTTTTCTCTTATCTATCAAATTGTCTACTTTCTTCTTGTAATTATCTTCATGGCTGCCATGGTTTCTGCATATCTCTTCGTCTTTCTTTCCCTCTTTGGCATGGTTGCATCTGATCCCGATCTTCTCCAGGATATCTGCGTAGCTAACAAAGCTGCAGGTACGTTCACGTACAAAAACTGTGTATAGATAAGTGTTGTTTTCTTTTCATTTTCTTTCTTTAAATTACATACATAAACCTGTAGGGGTAAAGGTGAATGGTTTTACATGCAAAGACGAAGCAAACGTTACGGAAGCTGATTTCTTCTTTAGCGGGTTAGCCAATCCTGGAGTTATCAACAACTCGGTGGGATCAGTGGTAACCGGAGCCAATGTTGAGAAAATTCCAGGGCTTAACACACTTGGAGTGTCACTTGCCCGCGTCAACTATCAACCTGGCGGCCTTAACCCACCACACACTCACCCACGCGCCACTGAGATCATCTTTGTCCTTGATGGTGAATTGGATGTAGGGTTCATCACTACATCAAACAAGTTGATCTCCAAATCCGTCAAGAAAGGCGACGTTTTTGCCTTCCCCAAGGCAGAAGAACAACGGTGAGAAGCCGGCTTCTGTAATTGCAGGGTTCAACAGTCAGCCGCCCGGGACTCAGTCGATTGCCGCTACATTGTTTACTTCAACACCACCGGTGCCGGACAATGTCTTGACCAAGGCCTTCCAAATCGGCACCAAAGAAGTCGACAAAATAAAAAATAAGCTTGCCCCCAAGAAAAGCTAAGCTAAATGAGGCCCTTAGATTTTGAGATCCAGGATGCTAGCTAAAGCAAAATCATCAAATCCTGCTTCTCCATGAGTAACTTCGTATGAATAATTATTCGATTTTCAAATAAAAAAAATGGATCAAACCTATCGTTTTATAAGTAATAATAATTGAAGATGAGTGTAGATATTTGTAATTAAAAATATTGTATTTATTTGGATTTGAATAAAGAACTTCAAGAACAAATGATTGGACCACCTAAATTACTTCATTAGTATCAAACGCGTTGGTAAATCAAAGCGACAAGAAGTAATTATGTATGATGTATGGGGTGATGGTCTACGGTAATTTATACAATAATTATAAGATTAAGGTGTTACATGCCGCTTAACAAAACACATCATGAACTTAAGTCACTTCACAAAATAACCAACTATATGCATATGCCACCATTAGGAAATTAGAGCAGAGACCAGTACAAAATGTAGGATAGAAACTTGTAATCCTTAAACACGATCATAAAAATATTACGAAAATTGAGTACCTAAAGTGATAAAAACAAAGATGAAATCGTATAGTTTAGTGAAGTAGTTAACTAAAGTGCAAAATAAGGATGACAATAACACATAATATGTATGAATTTAATGCTTATAATGACAAATAACTATCACATCTAGATTTAACTTGCATGGTATAATACAAGATGTTCATGATCATATCATATAAGTATTGCATTGCAAAGTAGCATAGATATATATATTCATTAGTTTAGTTCATCGGAGTATAAGTGGTTATAGATATGTGAACCATCTACTTTTTGTCAATTAACTGATAATGGTCATCCTCCTCTTCATAAAACATTCACAAACTTTCATCCTCTTCGTAAATGGATTGTAATCAAATCCCGATGCAAACTCTATAGACTCTATAACATTTCAATTGTACCCACTACCCATACTTAATTTATTATCCAAACACTTGCTTAACCTAACTCATCATACTTAAATTTTACCTCAATTTACCAAATACCAAAAGTGAGCTCATAGCTCCTCGAAGCATAGCTTAGCTTAAATCATTCTTGCCCAAAATACAGAAAATAGTCACATGTAATTTACCATAACATACTCATAATTATGTCACAAAATATTTAAGCCTACCTAGAGACAAACTACACTCGCTCAATACTCCGAAGTTACATAATGTCTCGAATCACTAATCCGAGCTAAGTTTATTTCCTTCTTAACTGATGTTTCTCCGGTTAAGATTTAACCTAATATAGAATTAAACACGAAGTTCATTGAAGTAAACATGGGAAACACATAATATCAAAAAAAAAATAATTGACATAACCCTAAACTCAATGGATTGGGCTCTCTACTTCAAAGCACTAAAAATCATGAAAATTTTACTATAAAATTTAGAATCACTAGTATTTCAAAGGAGAACCCTAATTATACAAACCCTCAAATTTATTAATCTCTTTTATCTTTTATATGATAAAATATTTTATTTTGATACTTGCATATTTTATAGGGTGAAATACACAAATTATCCCTCGACTATAAGGTGATGCTTTATTGAGTCCTCCAATCATTTGAAATTATAAAATGGTCTTCCAACTATATAGTGTTGCTTTGTTGAGTCTCTCGTCTATTAAAAATTACAAAATGGTCACTCAACTATTTATATGTTTCAAACTCATCCTTTTTTGTTAAAAAATTAACGCAGATTGAGCTGAACGTTAATCTGTTAATTGTGATATAATAAAATCTGATTCCAGAATCTCAAACGACTATCATATCTCAATTATCATGTTAGTGTCTAGCTTAGAAGGCTGTCAATTTTATAACAAAAAATGACTTTGGAACATATAAATAGTCGGGTGATCATTTTGTAACTTTTAATAGTCGAGAGACTCAACAAAGTAACACTCTATAGTCTGAAGATTATTTTATAACTTGTAATAATCGAGAGACTTAATAAAATAATATCCTATAGTCGAAGAGCATTTGTATATTTTAGCCTATTTTATAGAGTAATCTAATTTAACTAATTAAATATTCATTATATGATTTGAATTGAAATTAGTTTGATCAACAAAATTTTAACAATATTAAGTGCCTTTTATAAATTCAAAATAAATTATTCTAATTTTAATTTTTTATCAGTACGAGATAATTATAAGATAATATTTATTTGAAATACTTTTAATTAATAAATAATAAATATAGATACATTCTATATATTATAAAACTCGAGATATCTAGAAAAAATAACAATTTTTTTAATTATTATATCGTTAAATGAGTTCATCTAATTTCAATTTTTAATTATTCAAACAATAAAATTGAAATATCTGATTTTTCAAATTAAAAGAATATTGAAATTCACAAATAAGCAAATAGCAGATTAAGTGGGCGCCCATACTGATCCGCGAAAGAAGCATTTCACTGATGCTGCTGGGCGGAAAAAACGAACAGTGCCCTGATAAGATAACCTTCTCCGACCTTTCTTCTTCTTCTTCTTCTCCACCAACCGCCTCCACACTACCCTCCGCCAAGTCTTCCTTTTTCTTTTTCCAGAATCTCCTTTCGGTATAGGCAGGTAAAACCCAGATTTTTCCTCCAATTCTTCCATTATCATTCAAAAGAAAACCGACCCATATCTCTCTCTTTTAGCTGCATTCGGATATGGGTCTAGTATTTTAGCATGTTATCCATCTTTAGGGTTTATTTCTTCAGGTCTTTTTTGTTGTTGTTGTGAATTTTGTACAGATGGGTACCCCTTTGCCTCGTGAATGGCTCGGCCTTCAACAATTCCCCGCTGCTACACAATCAAAATTGTTCAAGTTGTTGGGAGAATTGAAACAAGAGGTTTTTCATGGACCCTTTTTTATCCCTTTCATTTTACGTTGACTTAATAACATATTTACTAATGATTGTTTTTGTTGTTGCGAAAAATTGTAGAATGTCAACGCTTTGACCATCCTTGTTATGGGTAAAGGCGGTGTAGGAAAGTCTTCCACTATCAATTCTCTTATAGGAGAGCAGGTTGTTCGAGTCACTGCTTTCCAGGTAAGTATTGTCTTTTTTTTTTCATTTGGGTTCATGTGTGGATTCTTATGTGTTGTTTTAGATTTCTTAAGTTTCAGTCGTCATTTTGTTTTGGTTGTTTTGCAGGCAGAGGGGTTGAGACCCGTGATGGTTTCACGCTCCTGGGCAGGGTTTACATTGAATGTGATTGATACACCTGGACTCGTGGAGGCTGGATATGTCAATCATCAAGCTCTTGAGTTGATCAAAGGGTCAGTACTATAATTGAGCATTCATAGTTATCTTCTTATTTGTTAGTTGATGAATTAAACTAATTCAGTATTTCCCGTTAAATGCTAGTGATATTTTCTTGTTAGATTTACTCCTACTACATGGTATGGCTCATTTTGGTTTAGAGAAAAATCTTGTAAATATCATGCAGGTTTCTTTTGAATAAGACCATAGATGTTTTGCTTTATGTTGACCGACTGGATGCATATAGAGTGAACGACTTGGATAAGCAGATCATTAGGGCTATCACCAACAGTTTTGGCAAAGAAATTTGGCGCAAAAGTTTGCTTGTGCTCACTCATGCACAGCTTTGTCCACCAGATGGATTGAATTATGAATTTTTCTCCTCTAAAAGATCAGAAGGTGTGCTAAAGGCAATTCGTATTGGAGCTCGGATTAGGAAAAAGGATCTTGAGGTATGTAAGTTTATTTATGTAGGAGACATGTCCGATTGTCTGAACAATGATGTTGAACAGGTTAACGTGAAGAGATAAGCTTATTTGTTGTCATAAAAATTGCATAAAGTACTGACTAAAATGTTTTTCTCTTCTAATTTGTTAAAGTAGAGATTTGGATGATTCCACACACTGGAGGAACATTGGTTTTTGGTAGTTTAGAGAGATTAGAGGAGCTCTGAGCTGGTTATCTGCTCCTAGAACTTGTCTTTGATCTACTACGGATATTGTAATCCACAAACGACCAAAATTTCTCATTGAGATAGAAGCGATTAAGCTCTTTTGAACTCTGAACCTAGCAGTTTGTTCAGTTTCTGATTGTTGACATTTCCTTTAGAAATAAATTACTTACCAGTTACCACTAACCTTCTCCACTTCTTTAGCTCAAGCTGTCCTAATCTTCTTTCTCATGCAGCTCCCTAATCTTCTTCTCATGAAGAGATAAATTTATCTGTCATGTTAACATTGTTGCTACCGTGATGGCCATGCATGCTCCTTGTTGTTTGTCAGTTATAAGTTCTGAAAGTCAGGTTGTCATTGGTTCCTCAAATAGGGGAAATGGTACTTGTTAGTTAGGATACAAAGAGTAATACGTGTGAGTGGTTTCAATACCAGCCTTTAATGACAATTTACTCCCATTGCAGCAGTTTGGACTTTGGAATAGTTCGTTTCTGGTTGGTGGGCTATAATCATATAGATGTTAATGTAACCTGAAAGTCACACTTAAAACGAGGGTACTCCGTACTACAATATTTCATTTTAAACTAGGAAATGCTGCATAGGGAAATTCGTTCTTCAAACATTAGGGAAAGCTTCAAGAAAAGGGGAAAACCAATTTATAACCAGACTGCGTTATCTGAGAAGAATATTTTAGATTGTAAATTTATTTTAATTATTTACTATTTCTTTTCTGATGATATGCTTAGAGTGTTGCGTCTATGCTGTCAGATATTTCTATGGTTTTGATGGTTGTAGGATTCTGCCATTCCCGTTGTTCTGGTTGAAAACACTGGGAGATGCAATAAAAATGACAGAGACGAAAAGGTTTGATCTTTTCTTTTTCCGTCTTCTTGTCTCAATTGATTGCCCTTCATATTCACAAGTGCCTTGATCACTTATATTGTTTCAATGCAGATTCTTCCTAACGGTGAAGCTTGGATTCCAAATTTAGTAAAAGCCATCACAGGTGTTGCAACAAACAAGAGTCTAGCAATTGTAGTTAGCAAGAAGTTGGTTGATGGGTCTGACGCAAATGATAAAGGAAAATTGTGGATTCCTGTTTTTCTTGGGGTTCAGGTAAAGTTTCTGCAGCTCATAGATTTCTCTTTGGGCTTAGCTCGAAACATAAATAAATATTTCGTAACGCATGAGTTTCCTTTTTTGGTCTAGTGGTTTATTATCAAATGGATTCAAGGAGCAATAAAAAGGGATATTGCATCCGGCAATGGACCTTTATGAATGGGATATCTGGGCAACGCCAAGTTTCTATCGAGTTATAATGAAACTCAATTAGTGAAGATTAGTTTGTACGGTAAGAAAACTCAATTAGTTATAATAAAATTTATGGATGAATATTCCTTCAATGAATTAATTAATTTAGCTAAATAACAAAATACTTTACTTTCATGGTCCATGTACGATAAGAAAGTTCATCTGCCTACACATTTTCATTTTCACATTGGGTGCATATCTGAAACAAAAAATGGTTCACACAAACAAAAATCAAACGAGTGTATCACAGGTAATACGGAAAATAACCAAACACGCCTGATTTGTTTGCATCGTTGAGTGGGTGATAAATGTTTAACTAATATAATATTATAACTTTATTCTATTTTATTTTATTTTAAATAATCTAAGTTGATTACAAGGAAATAATTTTTTAGAATCTTTTTTAATCATGAACCATGCATATACACTCTGGTTGTTCCAACTCAAGAATTCTAGGGAGAACAATGCTCCCTTTAAGCACCCACTTGATAGGTTCAAAGAAAAAAGAGAGAATACTTTTAGGGGCAATTTGTAAATTAAATGTTACGTTAAGATAATGTCACGTATATAGTGTTATGTTTTGATTTAATTTTGGCTACTCATTATCAAAAAATTAATAGTAAGTCACCATAAGATAATGTTATGTATTCATTGAATAATTTTAAAAAATGCCATGTCAATAATTCTATGAATTTTTTAACAACAAATGACCAAAAACTATAATAACGTTAAGTATGAATTTGAAAAAAAATAATAGTTAAATGATCAAAATGGAATTAACGTGATAGCTGAGATACTAAATTTGTAATTTACCCTACATGTTTAGCACGCTATCACTTTTGTTCTATTTTGCTATGCAAACTATTATCTTTTTCAAAATGATGCTTAACATTTAATTTTAGTTTCATTTTGATCACTTATTAAAAAATTAACGAGGATATCAATGTGATCATCATGAGATAATCTTATATCATCATTAAAAAATAAAAATATCACGTTAATAGTTATGTTAATTTTTTAATGGTAAATGGTCAAAATGAAACTAAATGTAACTTTATGTATGATCTTGAAAACAATAGTTAGATGACTAAAATAAAAAATAAAGCGATAATTAGGGGTACTAAATGTGTAGTTTACGCAAAATAAAACGATCCTTGCTGAAGGACCTGAGCAAGGTATTTACGGAGAGAGCACTGGAACCCCGTTCTTTCTAATAAACCGAACAAAACACCACTCTCCTACCCTCTTCCCCTTCCCCTCGACTGCCATCAATCATTTCTCCATCAACTTCTATATAAAAAAAAGAAGAAAAAAAATCTTGGCCATATGAATCAAGACATTAGAGTTCATCCTCCATCAAACTCAGTCCACAACCCAAAGCTAAGGCCAACCCTTATATCTTACTTCAATAAACCCACCCTTCTCAAAATCTTCGTTTTCTGCTTCTTCCCTTTCATCATATCATCCTTTCTCCTAGCTTACTTCAACAACAATCTAAGTGGCAATAATTCTGAAATGGTATTGTGAAAATTTGGGATCTTTTTCTTCTTTCAGACTTTGGGTTTTGTTTCTCTTTCAATTTACTTTATTGTAACTTTTTTCCCCTTTTGTGTGTGAAAGATGTTGCCAGGATATCATAATGACTCTGATGTTGCTAATGTGGATTCAAGTGAAACTGTTTATGTTCCCTTTAAAGACACTGGTTATGTTTGTTCAACAATGGAAGAGCCTTGCGTTTCTTGTACCACATTCAACATCCTAGCTCCCATTTACAAGAGATTGGACCAGCAGGTGATTTCTTCTTTCTTTTCCCATTTAATTTCACTGCTTTCTCTCTTTGCCTCTCCCTCGCTATTATTGATGTCTTAATGTTTGTAAATTTTGCTCATTTCATTATCTTTTTGGTGATTGTGGAAAAGAATCAGAGTGTACGAGAGAGTGATTTTAGAGCATTTTGGTTGGCTAGAAATAAGAATATCCTAAATTGGTTGCTTTACGAAAGGTCGTCCATTATCTGTCTCCAGGTGGGTTTCATATACCCTTTTCTTCTACTGCCTCCTCTTATGACATAAGCCTTTATTTAATGACTATTTTGTTTTTCAATGATTAGGAATTTTGGGTTGGAAATGAAGAGTTAGCGCATATGTATGAAGAAAGGCTTGGTTCTGCTGGCTATGATACCTTCAAGCTTGCAAGAAGCAACAACCGAGGAGATGGTACACTCAATTAATTTATTTGTTTTCATACTGGAGGCCAATTTTAAGATTTTGTTTATAGATTAGATAGTTATGGATGTTCTTATGGGATGCTGTACCAAGTTCAAGTATATTAAGCTTAACTCAAGTCAAAATCAGTAGAGAATTTGATACCTTGACAGACAATTGTGTAATATTAGTTGTAGTTTGATGCAGCTGAGTGTTGTTTTGTTTGGAAGTTTGTTTTCTACTTGTTCACTTTCACTTTCCAAATCTTCCATTTTGATCGGCTCCTATAAAATAGGGTAAACAAAAGAATGAGCATTTCTCACCTATTAAGGCTGAACTAGTTCCATTATAGTCGCATATTTTCCTTTTTCTCTATGGTTTCAGTTGCCAGCTACATGGGAAAGGGATGATCATACCTCTTGGGCTGTTTACAGTCCTTATAATGTATGTAGATCATCCTGCCAGATTTAAATTCAATTACTTTAGTTCTTGATGTTTTGGTTGGTATGATTCAATTTGAATTTTTAGTGCTTTCTAGTCTCAGGCTTGAGAACTTTTATTAATGTTACTTCCACAGGTTTGTTGACTGCTATACACAAGGAATACTTCAAGGTTTTAAACCATGGGGAGTTGTTCTTCGATGACTTAGGTGATCGTGTTGCTCAACTGTTACATGTTCAATTGATTGTACCTTTCTCAAGAAATCAGAATGACAGTGTTGATCAAGAAATTATCATTGTGAACACCCACCTTTTATTTCCTCATGATTCTAGTTTATCGATTGTAAGACTGCACCAGGTAGATGTTATCGTCTTATGAAATATGTCTGTACCAGTCCACTTTCTTTTTCAGTTCTTTTTGATGTTAACAGAGTTGACTTATCTATAGCTTTGATATTCTTCTCATAGGTTTACCAAATACTACAATATCTGGAAACATATCAGAGAGAAAACAAACTCAGCCAGATTCCTGTAATACTCTGTGGGTAAGCATTATCTTTGGTTTTATCACTTACTGATCTCCCCAGTAAAAGGCATTTGTTTTATTTTCCGTGGTCTCATTTTCCCCCCTTTAATGCTATTGATTTTGCAGTGACTGGAATGGAAGCAAGCGTGGACATGTCTACAAGTTCCTCAGGTCCCAGGGATTTGTATCATCTTATGATATTGCACACAAATATACAGACAGCGATGCGGATGCTCATAGGGTTAGTATATTAGATTTCATATTTTATTGCAGAACCTCTTTATCAATATACCACTATGTTTTTTTGAATCCGCAATGCTTACTGATTAAATATGTCGGCTTTCATTGTTGTGTCTCTGGTATCCCACAGTGGGTTAGCCATCGAAATCATAGGGGAAACATCTGTGGTGTCGATTTCATATGGCTTTATAATCCCCATAAATCACGAAAACCTTTGAAAATAAGTTGGGCTGAAGCAGCTTTTGGTATAATAAAGGTAAGTTCTGCATTTTTCATTTTAACTGTTAGTTTATAGTTTACAAATTCTGGCTTCGTAACTCAAATTATTGCTTACTTACTGCAGTAGTCAAATTTAAACGCCATTAGACAATTACATCAGGGCTGGCATATCTTATACTTTGCTCAAATTCTGATAACCTCCTTATGCATTATAACTACTTTTAAAATCTGTGACTTGCGCTTTCGCTTATTGACGAAATTGTTAAGTGACTTGGGCTTTCACTTATTGACGAAATTGTTAAGTGACTGGGGCTTTCACTTATTGACGAAATTGTTAAATGACTGGTTCGGGAATCTGATAACCATCTCTCTGATTCTTAGCTTACACTTGTGTAACTTATGATGAGTAGGAGCATGATGGGAAATGTATGTGTTTTACCTTTTCTTTTGCAAATGAATTTCACCAATTACCATGGATCTGCATCTAAAATTTATTTCCCATCATCTTGGTGACAGTATCAACTTAAAAAGGTTTCGTTGTCTGAAAATGATGCCTTTACCTTTATAAGGGATGACAATAACAGCAACCACACAACATATTCAGCTTTCTGTGATGCACTTAGACAGGTACTTCTCATTCACCTCCTTAATATAGTACCCTGGTACATAATGTGAGTGGTAAAATTCTCACCTTTTCCGAACCATCTACAGGTGAATTTGACTGGTCTTTCTTACGGATTATGCTTCCAGGAGATGAAAGATCTCTGGGTCCAAGCAGACACCAATGGAAATGGTGTTCTAGACTATGAAGAATTTAAGGTGTGCTGCATCCCTAATTTATCACTTTGTTTCGAAGTTAGCATCGACACATATTGTCTCGTCACTGCAATTAGTTTTGGCAACATATCTGATGTAACCTTTTATCTCAAAAATAGTTTAAAGTAGATGTAATATTTAAGGGAACTTTTCTCCATAAAACCAAATTTCATTCTGTATGTTGAAGTCATCTTGTAGAAAAAAAGCATGTCCTTAACCCGTTGTTTATAGAAACGTTCAGTAATTGGTTGATATGTTTGCAGAGAATTTGGGATGCTACATGGTTGCAACAGATGGATGAAGAGTGCAGCTTAGCAGACTTGAATGAAGGCATTGCAGAAGAAGAAGCTATCGGTTTTGCTGTAAAGAAAGCAGTTCTCTTCCCCCGTGAAGTGGAGAAAGGGATATGGCCTGAAAACTACTCTCTTTCTGATCATGCCCGACTCACCGCGGTATTCTCACCAGTGAGATTACGGTGTTCGAAGCAAAACTTGTAGAGTAAATATGTCGATAGCACAGCAGAACACAAATGTTGTTACACATTAAAAAAAAAGCTTTAAAGTTTTGGAATTTCATTCCTGGAAAGCTTTTAACTTTTTTTACACCTGTTTAGCCACACATGGCGTACAAGCACCAAGAGAACAAAATAGAAATGTGTCAAGCAGATGTTTTTGCTCTTTTGTCAAAGAGATTTGATTTAGACAAGTGGGGAACACATCAAACAAGCAATTGAAAACCTTAAGAAGCTGAATGGACGGTGGCAATGTCAAAAAGGAGCAGTGAGGATAATGTTGGCCAAAACTTAGGGGACAAGTTCAGAACTGTGGAAGATCCCACATAAATATCATTGTAGATATCTAAACTCTACATTACAAAGTTGGTAAATCTAAATTGTGTACATTTTGGGGATCCAACTTAATATTTTTTTAGTAAATTATGTTTTTTATCACTCAATTTTGGGGATCCAACTTATTTATTTTTAATAAATTACGTTTTTTATCATTCAATTTTAATCTTATTTCTATTTTCATTCTTTAACTTTAATTTTTTTTTTATATTTGATAACTTAATTTTGGAAATTGAATTTTGTGTGTCTACTATTATTTATGTAGCAACATAATATTGGGATTTATTTTATTAATATTAATTTTTATGTTTTTTCTATTGAATTGGATTTTTCATTAAATTGGACTATTTGCTGGCTAATCACTTTGTTGCATGTCATTCTCATTTCTCATTCTAATGCTATCATGTCAAATCAATCATTAATCGAATACTTACTAATGCTTTAGTCATTACTTACCCTTTTACTTGAACCTTTGGCACATGCACCTTTCATACCATACCTAATTTCCCAAGAACCACTATTGAGGCCACACCCATGAACGATGGAAAGTACGATAGTCGGAATCTAGATTGATTTTGGTAAAGGGATAGAAAAAGGGACGAAGAAATGTAAGAGAACTTAAAATGAAGAAAAAAAAGATAAGAAAATAATTTTTTTACAAGGATCCAAAACGTCATTTGGATGTAAATTTGACTTTTTGTAGAGATCTAATCGTTTTGGTGTTAAGTGACCAAAAAAATAATTTTTAAAAGTTGAATGATCATATTAAGAAATTTAAAGTTGAGTGACCAAAGCAGGAATAAGACAAAGTTGATTGATGAAAATCGTAGTTAACCCTATTGTTTCCCAAAACTTCTTGAGGAAGGAGTTATTGTTTATTAAAGGTTTTTCCCCCTTCCGACTAAGATTTTCATGGGATCACCTTCCTTGATCCTTCTTATTGAGATGGACGGGAATTAGTGTTATTTTTTTAATTTCTTGGAATCGTCTTCTTGTTGAATTACCCGTATTGTTTCTTCTCAATTATCTGATGAGATGAACTACTGTAGCTGCAACGAAATCGTTGGATACAGGTTCCACCCAACTGATAAAGAACTCATCGATCATTACCTATGGAATAAGGCACTCGATCGTGATTCTGCTGTCCAAGCTATTGGTGAAGTCATCGGCGACCTCAGCGACTGGGAGCCTGGAGAATTACCCGGTAAGTTTCAACTTAGTCCATCGTCTTCTTTTTTTTCCAGATTCTGCTCACTTTATTGAGTTTGGGCTTTGTTTTACAGGGTTTTCAGCAAGAAGATCTAACGATCGAACTTGGTATCTATTTTCTCGAAGAAACCATTGTAAACGAGTCAAGAGGACAACCAAGCTTGGATACTGGAAATTAACGGGTAAACATAGGAGTATAAAGGCTAAAGTTGGAATTGGTACCAAGAAGACTTTGGTTTTCTATGAGGGTCGTGTTCCTCAAGGAAAATGGACACCTTGGGTCATCCATGAATACACTTTGCCTGATACTCTGCCTAACCAGGTTTATTTTTGTGTATCTAATTCTGAATCCTTGTAGTCGTTTCAAATTTCTCTTTTGGTTATAGGATGTTTATGGGTTAGCATCTAAAAGATCTATCTTTGTTTATACTCAGTTCATTTATAGGATTGAATACTCTTGAAGTTTTTACCTCTAGAGAATTCGATTTTGAAGAATTGTTGTTGTTTTTCCAAACTGGATAATATAATTTCTTGAAATTCATAGTCGAACCCAATTTGTTGCATTGTTTCTCTTTGTACCATGAATTGCGTGCTTTGGTCTAATCTTAATTTTGAAAGTTGATTATGTTGCGAGTTATTTACACTAAGTAACTGTTGTGTCCTCTTTGTACAGAAGGGGTATTTTCTCTGTAAATTGAAGAAAAAAGATGATGCAAAGACTTGCATTTCAAGTGCTGAAGAAGGTCAGCCAAGTAATGCTGCGGAAGACAAACCTTTTGATGTAAGACATGCACCTTCTTATGTAGCTTTTCAACATACATTTGATTAGTATGGAAATGGTGTAAGTTCGATGAACTAATTGCTTCCTTTTTGTAAATCAGAATCCATCGGTTATCGATGTTGACGAGTTGCTGGCACAGATAAATGACTCCATTGAGGTTGAACATGACAATGGTTCTGTGCAGAAATCACAGATGAATGGCGAGCATGTGCCGGTGTCTTTATGTAATGCTACTTACATAGGTGACGATTTTGATGGGGTTCACAATCAATCTAGCACCAATGAACAAAATGATGAGATATATGTAATATCCTCTTCATTGCAAACCCGTGTGTACGAGGAGACTATGATTTCTCATGATGATTTCTCATTCTTTTGCGGCTGTGATGAGAATGATCATGAGATTCAACATCAATCTAGCACCAACAAACAACCTAGCACCGCTGAACAAGACGATGAGATTCAACGTCAACAATCTGGCATTGATGAACAAGTTGATGAGATTCAACATCAACAATCTGGCATTGATGAACAAGATGATGAGATTCAACATCAACCTGGCATTGATGAACGATATGATGAGTTCTTTAATTCTGTTTTAGTCGATGATGATGAACTTTTTTGTTTGTGTGAGAACGATGACTTTATCCTTGGCTGAAACATATCCCTTTTAGAGTTATCTAGCAAACAAATATAGCATATATGATGGCAGATAAAATGATGTCATAGAAACTAAGTCTCAAGCACAAGTTCATAGGATTGTGTCCTCGGAGTACAAAAGTTGTAATAATATAGAGATGCAATATGTATATATTTGTAATTTTGTCATGCGTATGTGTATCCATAAATTATAAATTAAGATATATGATTTTGATTTTTGTCTTATTTGCTGGTGGTTTGAATCGTACATTATACATCATACGAATTATTGTCACTAAAACTTTAGGTTCATATATAAATCAGACAGCATACATATACCAGAAACTTGGAACATGTGTGCCAGAAACTTGGAACGTTGATTTTAAAGAATCTCATTTCTTGTAAAACGTTGGATCTGATAATATCAACGATCAAAGATGTCAGCAATAGTCCGACCAATGAGGTTGACGTGATTTGTTGTATATATTTCTTAGTAATGTAGTGTTGCAATTATATACAACCATTGTTATCTAACATTTTAGATTCTAAGTTTCGAAACTCACCCAGGACCTGAGGGATAAAAATAAATCTTTTAACCACTAAAATCGTTTATTTCACTAAAATCGTTTATTTCATGTGAGATTCACTTTTAATTTTCACTAATCACAAGTAACAATGATCTTGTAGTTGTTATCATATGGATTCAGAAATAAAAGGTAATTTCGCTCTCTTTCTTTCTCTAACAAAAGAAGGTTTTCTTTTTCATTTCTCACCAGACCTAGAAGACCCCTTCTCTCTTCCATTCCGAAGCATTCATATATGCTCTCAAAATATCTCAGCATTGGTGTTACAATACTATAGTCAACGGTTCTCTTCCTACACTAAAAGGGGTGAATTGTCGATCACTATGAACCATCATCTCTCGTATTGTATATGAATATTGGTGTGTTAAGCGTGAACACACTTTCGATTTTCAAATTATTCTTGACAGCTAATCCATTCAACAATCTCCAAGATTCATAATAAATCATATAAGTTATTCTAAAATCTGATATATATATATATATATATATATATATATATATATATATATATATATATTCTCCGCCATGAATTATATCGTTCTTATTTTTTAGGTGTTTAGATCCTTACTTAAATCAAGATAGAAATCTCATCAGAATTAGTATTGTTCGTTATTACACGATCCACTGACTCCATTATTATTTCCTACTTGTCTCCTTGTATTTTTATTACTTTATTAAAGATGAAAAGAAAAGGCGTGTGCATGCAATTTGGTGGAAGTGTTGGTGCATCTCAAGATGCATTATGCGGACTCATGTGTCACGGGCCGAAGAAAAGGCGTGTGCATGCAATTTGGTGGAAGTGTTGGTGCATCTCAAGATGCATCATGCGGACCCATGTGTCATGGGGCCGAATCAAGGTTCAAGACCCATGCAAACATAGGTGCCGGATGGGTTTTGAACACCACATTGAAACCAAAAAAATCCCTTCAAAGTCGAATTGTATCCAATTCATCAAGTAAATATAAACCTTGTCGGATTATAATTCAAGAATAAAAGATAGAGTTTGAGTTGTATTAGGACTTGACATTGTGGACAAGTTTTTCAATCTTAATAGATGGAGTAAATGAAGTTTAAAGATAGACTTTGAGTTGTATTAGGACTTGACATTGTGGACAAGATTTTCAATCTTAATCCATGGAGTAAATGAAGTTTATGTTTGATTAGGATACCATTAATTGTGAAGGGACCTAAGTATAAATAGAGGTTCTCCCCACTTTAGTTGTCACCATCAAGTTAAAGAGGGGGGGGGGGAAACACGAATATTTGACTTAACTCTTTTCGCCTTCTCATCTTGAACCTTCTCTTATTATGCTTTCACTCATTCAATATGTTATACCCTTCTAAGCTAACTAAGTGCATTTAAGCATTATTCATCCAGACTGAAGGCTAACTTAGGCATAGAACTCAAGTTCATGTGTCTAAGGCAACACAATTTGCTAGTTTCAACTATAGCCCAGTGACAAGTGGTATCATAGTCAAGATTGTAAGTAAATCTGTTTTACAAAGCCACACCAAGAACGTGAGGTTGTCGCACATGAGGGTATGAAGACTAGTGATGATTGCAAAAGAGGGAATGCTCGAAGGACATATTGTCATCGTTGGAAGGGAGGATCATCCAACTTGAGAGATCCACATAAGATAAGAAAACCCTTGACACACATAGGACATGACTCTAAGGGAGAGGAGGTTAAAGAGGAGAGATGTAATGCGTGCTCAACAAAACGATGGACAAGGTGAACCAAAGGAGCGATATTATGAAAGCCAAGATATTAACCCTAAAAAAAGAAGCGCTAGAATTCAAGGGAGAACTACTTTTGTGCAAGGAGAGTAGTAGAATGTTGGTTATTGCACACAAACCGAAGGTTGGCTCCCAAGAATTAAAGGAAATTAAAGGGACAAAATCGGCCCAGATGTAAAGAACTTTTTATGGGGGATGGAGTAGTATTTTTGAGCTATGGGCATCGAAAAAGATATTGATAAGGTAAATATTGCTAATATTTATTTAACTAATATTACACTATTATTGGTGGAGGCATATATGCTCCGATGAGAAATGTGGAGGTACTTCCATTACAACATGAGAATTTCAAGCGGAGTTTAAACAATATTTTTTTTCTTCAGAATATGCTGAAGATGAAACTCAATTAAAATTAAAGTGCCTTAGATATGATGGGTCAAGCCAATATATGCGTCAATTTAAAAAGCTCTTGCTAAAAGTCCTAGATATGAGCAACAAAGACGCCCTCTACACCTTCATGGATGCCTTGTAACATTGGGCTAAAACTGAGGTATAACTTAGAGGTGTCAAATAGCTTTTTAAAATTATAACTACCGTGGAGTCATTTATCGAGTCTGTTAGGGACAAATTTACCAGGCTCAAATCTTTCATGCCCCAAAGCGACGAGGAAAATGAGGAAAAGTAATAAAGTGTTGTCTTATCATTTTTGTGCAGGCTAAAGGTCAAGGAAAAAGCTCAGCTAACAGGGGACTTCTCCAAATATGGGTTGAAAACACCTTTGACTTCAAAACAAGAGTCCTAATCAGCAGAAAACGTGTAAGAGTATTTTTCTTTTTACTAGTTCTAATAAATTTATACATTCCTGTTATCATTCCTTTTCACACGAGATTTTAATCCAATAAGCGATCAAAAATAATTAATAATCATTTGAAACAATAAATAAATGTAATCAGTGGGGCTGTCATTCTCATTCAACTGCTGTTGATCATATGCTTTTATCTAGTATGATGCAATTTCCCCCCATGAATGAAGGGAAAATAGCAATGTACTTGAGTTTATTGGACCCAATTCGGGGTATTTCTTGGGGCATCACGAAGGAATTAGAATGTAATAGTATTGATTGTTATAAATACGGAGGAAGAGGTTAGCTGTTGATTTTAACGTCTTACCTATGAGTAGGGATAGAGAAAAAAAGAAGAAAACCGAAGATTTAACATAGCGCTTTTGATAAAAAAAATCAGTTATCATAATCATAATCTTCTTTATTTTAAAATTATAATAAGAAACAAGAGCTGTTTCCAACAGTTAACCAATCTAGTAATACCAGAATTACATTGAATATTTTGCAGAAAACGTGAAAGATAAAGGAAATAAAATTTAAAAAAGTTTAACGAAATCATAGTAAGAGACGTGGTATTAGGTCATTTGTCCTGCTTCAATGTTTCTAAGATGTACTCGTTATAAAGGTCCCTGCACCATAGCAACATAAAACCCTGTGTCAGAGATAGAACTCAAAGAGCAACACTGACCAATAACTATAGACCATCATCTTTAGGCATACATTGAATGCTGGATGGCTTCAATAGCAGTGTCTGCAGGTAAAATATCATTGACTGCAACCTCCTTGTTCTCATTTTTCTTGTCTGTTCAATGTTAAGAAATCAGTATTCCCTCACGTTAGGAAGCAAAATTTAATTTTGTGATGCAGTGAGTTCATAATTTATGATTGAAAAGCATACAGTCCTCGAAGAAACGGCGTATCTCAGTAAGGCGGTGAGGGGGAAGTTGTTTGATATCAGTGAAATGTTTGTACTCTGGATCATCAACACAAACTGCAATGATCTTATCATCTTTCTCCCCCTGAGTGACAAATAATGAAGCAGTTATCACACAAACTGAAGGGAACCAGTATCAGAAAGGTTATACTTGTTTAGACTTCAATGAAATACCTGGTCAATCATGGGCATAAGTCCAAGGGGTCTGGCTCTCAAAAAACATCCAGGAAGAACTGGCTCCTATTTGAACAAATGGCATAATCTCAGTACTTGAAGACAACTGTTAGCTTGCAGCTAAAAGATGCAACAATCAAGTTGCAGTGCTAAATTTGGCACATTGCAGTTAATTCAACAATCAAGTTATAGGGCTAAATTTTATGGTTGAGCATCATAGTCCACCAACATATAAGCTGGAGATAGGCATTTTCACCTGCATGATAACCAAAATATCCATAGGATCATTGTCTTCACATAGTGTGCGAGGGATGAAACCGTAGTTGTGAGGATAGACGACTGAGGAATACAAAATCCGATCAACCTGAGATTCATTAAGACAGTAAATAAACTCATTAAGAAGGGGAAAGCCTTGGCCTATAAGGTGTTCCTCTATTCTATAGCAAATGGAGGATCTTCACACCTTATCACATAGTGTGCGAGGGATGAAACCGTAGTTGTGAGGATAGACGACTGAGGATCAAAATCCGATCAACCTGAGATTCATTAAGACAGTAAATAAACTCATTAAGAAGGGGAAAGCCTTGGCCTATAAGGTGTTCCTCTATTCTATAGCAAATGGAGGATCTTCACACCTTAATCATTCCGGTCTTTTTGTCAAGTTCATATTTGACCTTACTACCTTTTGATATCTCAACAACCTGTACAGTTGAACCCCCCCCCCACAAAACAAAACAAAAATTCTACAGTTTGATTATTCATTCAGACAATATAAATGAATGAACAAGTCGAGGCATACACAATTGACAACGGTTGGAGCTTCAGATCCTGCAGCAGACAATATTTTTAAAACATGTAAGTTACCCTGTTTGATTATTCACTCAGAGAACGATGCGATGTAAGCTAAAAACATGGAATCTGATTATTCAGGCATTGGATAGGTACCACTCTCAAGATCATGCCAAGAATGTGCAGCAACTGATCTCTTTGACAGAGACGAAAGGATCCTCTCATTTAGACGGGGTGGTCCACGTGGAACTTCACTCGTTTCGTCGCTCATCTGTTTTGATATTTTTTCCCAAAAGAATAAATCGCATCATCATTCAATCAAATAGAGAAAACAATGGAAAGGGTTTCATTTATGATAATGAAAAAAGCAGAAAGTGAAAAGGAAAGTACCTTTGGTTCTGGGATAGAGAGTGTGGATACGGAAAAGGAAGTGAAATGGATACAGTGGTTCATGTATGGGTAAATACTTATAGCATGGAGGGCCTGAAAATTTGTCCAAGAAGAGAGAAAAGAGGTTGGTCAAGATGCTTTAAGGCAGTGCCTCGTGTCTGCTGTTGAGAAAAAGTAGGTCGGATTTAAAGCTTAGCCCACCTCCTCGGCTTCTGTAATTCTTTTTCCTCTAACTAGGCTGTATTACCGGTACACATACGTATTTTAAAAGTATTTTAGAAATGATAGGAAAAAAAGTTGATTTAGGGGCTGTTTGTTTGCCTTTTAATGAAATTATTCAGCAGCGTTGAATGCGAAACTATTCAGCGCTAAATGTTGAACCGTTCAGTATTTATCGCGTTTATTTTGCACTTCTAAATGATTCAGTGCTGACTGATTTAGCAAAACAGTGCTGAATGATTCAGCACAGAAGTACATTCTGAATGATTCAAAGACATTATCAAACAGCATGTCACATTCAGAGCTATTTCATACAGAGCTTCTAAATCATTCAGCATTTGAATCATTCTGCGCTTAATCATTCTGAAGTAAACAAACAACCCCTTAATCATTGTTGATTAAAAACTTCGTCGTATAAGGCCAGTATATAATATGTTGATGCACCAATTATGTATTCAATGTAAAATTATTATTAGCATGAACCAATGAATCTCGACGATTAAAGATTTATTGTTATTTTTTGAGACATCATTTTTCATTAATGATGAAGATATAATATAGGCACGAACGTTGATTATCCTTGCAAACAATATATATATATCCTTAACTGTAATTTTGAAATTTTAAGATTAAATTATAAAAAATATAATTTATTTAAGAGTCAAATTAAAACTAATTTTTTTAATAAATTTTAAATATGTTCCTAGTTTTACTTAGAGGGGAGAAAAAGTAGACTTTATAGAAAAAAAAAGATGAGGGTTCTTAATAAGTTTAGAATCTATGACCTAAATAAATATGAGGAAATAAAGATGAGTAACTTAATCGACCGACGAAATTAAAACCAAACTTAAGGAAGCTGAAATGAGTATTACAAAACAGTTTTTAATATTTTTTAGAATTGATCATTTTTAATATTTCTTTTGGGTCTTGGTTTAAGGTTTATAAATAATCATTCTCCTCACAATAATACTATGGGAATTGGTTTTAGAATCAATATGAATAGTAATTTGGAGATAGTATAAAAGTAGATTGTTGAAATCAAACCAAGTCTTAAAAGAGTCGTTTAGCGAATCCATTTATAAATCTAATAATACCTTGTTGCAAGTGATAATGGGATTCAGTTTTCTTACAAGAAAAAGAAACCAACAAGCAAACGAAACACAACACAACATCCTAAAGCTTGGGTCACTTTTTAAATGCTTCAAGGCAAAGTCAAGAAGGACACTACTTGGAGATATCAAGCCTTGACCGGATACTTGTGAATTTCATCTTTCCACGGGTTACCCCTTGTCTCACTCAACGGAGTCGACGTAAGAGCTCTCCAAACAGCGCCGTTACACTTGAACCCCGACCCGAATGCAATCTGCCACACCCGGTCACCACCCGCGATCCGACCCTTGGCCTCCGTGTAAGCCAACTCATACCACGGTGAGCTGCTCGAAGTGTTTCCAAATCTATGTAATGTCATCCTTGATGGTTCCATGTGCCAATCCGTTAGCTGCAAATTCTTCTGTACTTCTTCCAGTACCGCCCTTCCACCAGCATGGATACAAAAATGCTGAAGAGCAAGATTAAAATCGGGTATGTAGGGCTTAACTTTTGCTTTAAAAACCTTCTTTAAAACAAGGGTAACAAAGAACATGAACTGCTCTGTGAAGGGTAAGACCAGGGGACCCAGAGTGGTGATATTGGTTTTCAATGTGTCGCCGGCCACAGCCATTAAGTCACAGCCCAATGAAACCAACAGTTCCTTTCTCATCCTCTCTTTGGTAAACGCAGCTGTAATGTTTATCGTCGGCGCCTTTATGGGTTCGAACCAAGTGAAGGAGCTCGTACTTGGAAATCGCCCTGTCTCGTGGCTTGTTCGACAGAGCGGCTCCACGCATGCGGAATATGCAATTGCATAGCAACATGGACCTATCGTTCCCGAAACACCAATTTACAGTAATATTTTCAGTGCTTACCACCACTGCATACGTGTTGGGATTGGCTCGAAGGAGGTTTTTAGCGAGCTCGACGGATATAAGGCCAGCACTGCACTCCATCCCACCGAGATTGTAGGACTTGATATCTGTACGTAGCTTGTAATGGTTGATTATCATGGCTGAGAGAGACGGTGTGGGGTTAAATATGCTACAATTCACGATAAGGATGTCGATATCCTTGGCTGAGATATTCAGTTTCAGACCGAGCCTCTCCCATGCACGAATTTGGAAGTCTAGAGGTTATCCCTCTTGGGAAGTACGTCTCATCGCCTAAACCAGACCGGGTCGATATCCTTCTTTGAAACTGAAGCATATCGTCCGTGGAAGCTCCGGTTTCTTCAGTCATCTTCAGGAATGAGTCAATTGACAATTTACGATCATCTTCAGATTTATAACAAGCGAAGTCGACGAGATAAACCGGCCTGGACCGGTTCGCAAAGTAAAGACCAAATAGGAAGAAAAGGGCAAGTGAAGCAGCTAGTCCGGTGGCAGCATCAATGCTCTCAAGTCGAAGGGCTTGATCGGTCCATAACTCGTAAATCCAGTCTAGTTTCAGACCGTAGAGCTGAACCAAAGTGACAATGATAAATGGTAGGATAAGAACGGTGGCGGGGTTACGTGAATAACCATGGCCCAAGCCTAACTTTACGTACTAGAGCTTCACAGATTGCAGGAAATCAGACAACCTTGCTGGATTTTGATGACGGTGGAGGAGTCTTCGAATACCATTTCCGCCGTCAGCCGCTCTTTACTCAGCTCTATGCTTTCCCTGTCCATATTATTTTCTTTTCGGGGGACTTAATGAATATGGGATTTGTTGTGTTTTTGGTAAGAATTAAAGTTAGCTGTGAAACCTTTAGAATGGGGAAGCTAAGCCAGAGTTAAAATAATGACAACTACAATAAAAGGATTAACGGTGGAATTAATGGATTACTCAACCACCGTGGCAAACTAGGAATATCCAATGGGATTTATTAGACTGCTTTGTTGAGAAATCATAAAATCAATTAACAATATTTGGGATGAAAATTATTAAAGGTAATTATACATTTAGTACCTAAACTATTAATTTTATTTCATTTTAGTACCTAAACTTTAATTTATTTAATCATACATAACATTTACTTTTATTTCGTTTTGGTACCTGATAGTTAAAAACTTAACGGAACTATTACATCATGTCACTTTTTATGGGTAAATTACATCATTCATCACTCAACTATCTCCTCACTCCTATTGTAGTCGTTTTAGTACCTCATCATTAAAAACTTTGATGAACTATTAAGTTTTTAATTACGAGATACTAAAACGAAACAAAAAGTAAACGCTAGGTATGATTTTGAAATAAATGAAACTTTAGATACTAAAACGAAATAATATTGATAATTTAAGTACTAAACATGTAGTTTATCTTTTATTTTTTAGGTGCTCAAAATGCAATCCAATACAATCATGTCTCCCCATGACCTTCCATTTCAAATTATTTCTTTAAGTTCTCTATCATCGCATATGTTTTTTAGGAGTCCTAATGATTTTAAATCGTCAATATATATAACAATTATTACAAATCCTGATCCAAACCTCTTAAAAAATACAGAGAAAAAATATTCTTATATTATTCCTTCGATATATATTCACTAAGATGATTATATCACATGTACTCAGGTTGTTTTAATTCATAAATGGATCTACTTAATTTGATTGAGTAATGTTCTTAAGAACCTGAATTAACGATTTCTTACCGCTTAAAATCTTCTAAAAGTCTCATGTAAATATCACTATCAAGTATACCATACAAGTAGGTTTGACAACATCCATTAGACGAATAATAAGTTCTTCTTTTATTGTTAGATTAATCAAAAATCCCAAAATAGTTGTATTCACCTTAGAAGAATATGTCTTTGTATAATAAATATTGAGTCTTTGTGAGAATCCTTGTACAACGAAAGGTACTTTATATCTCACAACTCTTTTATCTTTCTCACAAAAACTCATGTATATCTATGAGTATTCGTGTTTAATTGAATTTGAGTTTTTATCTTGAATCCTTTGCACTTTCAGAATTCGTGTCAAAGTCGAGATTAAAAGAGTTTGACTCAAATGCAATGTGAAATAAATTAATTAAGAAATACTTAGAAAAAATAAGATATTTTATTTTATTAAAAGTAGAAAAATTATTTTCTTTTATGTAGAAAACCTACTTTGAGTAAATTTTTATTAAAGAAATTTACATTGTAACGAAATAGATATCCTTATAAATAGATATCAATGGTTTGTGTTAAAGTTTTATTTCTTCAAATTATCTTGTATTATTCTTTCTTTAATATTAGTGAAAGTTCTTTTCTTCTGCACGTAGATTTATAAATTGCCTTCATTTTTTGTGACATGTGTCTATATTTTGAAATATTTGTTTTACGACTTATATTGTTTTGCTACTAATGTTAGATTTACTGTGATACTAATTATGACATATTTTATTTTATTCAGTCACTTATAGTTTTATATTTACTAGTTTGGATTTTATCGTTATAAACTATGTTTTTTAAGATGTTATTTATAATATGGATTTAAATTATCGAAGAACAATCTGGAAAATTTTAATGTAATTCACTAGATCTGGTCATAACGCATAGGTCGGGTCTAGGAGATTACAGAATTTTTAATTTTACAAATTATAACACTAAACTTTGATTTCCATTTTGACTATGCTGCAGAGCCTTTAAATCATTAACAACATGATAACATAGCGGACCACTATTGAGGTGGACACCACATTAAAACGACATCATTTTGTGTGACTATTTGAATGCTCAAAATAGACCAAAACAATGTCGTTTTGATGGAAAAAAATTAAAAT